CTGCTAATCTGATGTAGACTCAATCAATAGTTGATTCACACATTTCAAGATTAATTTCTCTGGGCATTTAAATTGCTCTAGAAGTAACCTATAAATTTGCTTGACTTCAAATGAAAGGTCATCAGCATCAGTAATGTCCAAAAGTTAATTATTAAAACTTGGCTTTGACTCGAATACAAAATGAACTGAAAAAAAAAAAAGTAATAGTAGGAGAAGTCATGTTAATTATGAGTTATGCAAAAGGATCCGTGCAGGCAAAAGTGACTGCCTGTGTCAATTATACCATAGGATTGGAGACTGGATTGTGATTGTGTGGTTTTCCTGTGTTTAAATCAGTTAAATTTCATCATACTGTAGGTTAGGTTAGTGCAAACAAATGATAGGAAATGTTAAATTTGCAGACTTGCTTAATCAATACTTGAGAAATGTTTTAGGCTGCAATCTGATGGCGAGCAGTCAGCTGTTGTTGAAGAATATAGGTGTCTGTCTGTCTGCACTCCCACCCACCCAGCAGGATCATAAAAACCATTCAGTTTGTAAGGTTATCTGGTTCCAGCCCCCCACCCCTGAACCCAGGGCCAACTTGGACGTTACATTGGGCGCTCAAGCAGTGTGCTTTCACGTGTGGCTGATGCTAGCCAGGTGTAGTAACATTGTTTACATCTTGAAGGTCTTAGTCAGTCTCAACTGCTGTAGTACATTGGCCTGAAGACAGTGGGTGACCATCAGTTCTTACGTTTGTAAATGCTGTGTACGCAGTGTTGCGGTGTCTAATGTCAAAGAACCGGTGCTTGAACTGGTATGAAAAGTCCAAGTCTTAACTATTATAAACTGAGAGCAAGCCTTGGAAAATGGTATTTGGTAACTTTGAAATTCAGAATTACTTTTAGCAGTCTATAGTGTAATTTAACACTGATGGTAGTGGTAAATGCTCATGAATGTAATTTTTATGTGGATTTTTCATTATTTCATACTTGCTTTGTTTTGGTGGTTCTGTTGGTTAGTAGTTATCCAAAATCAGAATAATAGAAAAACTGTTAAAATTAAAAGATGGTTGCTAGGAAAAAAATGGCATAATTTGTCACACAGAACATTAAGTTACTAGAAAAGTTAGCTTGGAATTTCAAATGCATGGTCGTGCACTAATACAAGTTACGTGGCGTTCGGAATTCACATGGTGAAGCATCATAAGCCCTTCCCAGTTTTGTTGGGGCTATTAAGTCTTTCTCTAGTGAAAAAAGAATAAAAGGGACATGAGGAGTGGAGCAGCGTATTATGTCCTTTTAGTAGGATTCCTTTATTGTGCCTGCTATACAGGCCAGAATTCTGGACAATAGAAACACATTCAGTAGCATTCAGTAGTTGCTATTTGGAGGAAATACAGGTGATTAACTCCAGGGAGGCTTGGTTAGCTGATGAGTCTGGAGAACAACGGTGCCAGGTCCTTTCTTGGTGCCAGGTCTTTTCTTAGCCGGTTCTTGGAAAGGAAGGAGAACTTTCACTGCAACAAGTTGGCTAGATGACTCTCACTGGAGTCGTTATTGTGATCATTGTTGTGTGAACAGATACTACTGTCAAGCAAATGTTTAAAGGACATGAAAGCAACAACAAAAATTGTGATCTAAATCTAAAAATCTAATGTTACGTTTTCTCTAGTTCTAATCAAAACAGGGTACTGCTAATACTCTTGGAATACATCTATTTAAATACTGGGATAGCTTCAAAGGGATTGTAAGAATTAAATTGTATTTGTAGAGAAAGATGGAAGGAGCAGCAGAGAATGACAGAACTGAATAATTTAAGTTGGAAGAAACTTTTGAACCTTATCAGATCCAGCTCCTCCTGTTCAGACCCAGGCCGGCTTCAAAGTTGGAACCAACTTTAAAGGTTCAGTTCCGTTGTTAAAGGCCTTATCCAGCCACGTTTTGGATGTTTCCAAGGCTGGAGATTCCACAGCCTTGCTAGGCAACCTTTCCAATGTTTGACGCTCTCATTGTGGACAAAAATCTCCCTGCTATCTAACTCCTTGTCGCAAGGCATTAGCCATCTGTTGTACGGGTTGTTTTGAATAGTATTGCTTATTCTTAATGAGTTCTACGAGGCAAAACACTTCAACTCTCACTTTTCAAATTCAAATAAACCCCTGTGTTCTGCAGAACTAATTGTTAGTGGCAGTGGTTTCGTTTCTCTCTTCTCAGTCAAGTCCTACGGACTGAAGCTGCAGATTTGCAGAAGTTTTTGGTTTTGTATGGCTTCTCCTTGTCTGTGAAATTACCATCTGCATTTTACGTAGTAATGGAACCACCCTTCTGTTTCTCTGCTCTTACTATTCAAAGTGCAAAACTTATCCCAAAATGCAATTGCTCAGATATTTAAGAGGTGTTTACTTTCCAGCTGAAACTTTTATTATTAGCAAGTAATATTTAGTCTACCAGGAATGGACTTGCTCTTTAATTACAGCAAGACGACTAATTCATCTTCTGAAGGCCTGGTGAATTTATTTCACAGGAAATAATACAACATTTGTAAAAGCGCTAGTATGGTATAATGGGTCACTTCATTTCCTAAATAACCCTAGAGCACTTCTGGAATATAGTCCTTTTTCTTAGTCTTAATTGTAGAGTGGCTAAAAGCCTGCACATGAGAGTTTGCTGACAGAATAGAGCTGATAATGTACTTTCATTTTTAAAGCTGTGTATTTGCATTTTTGCTAGTAGTCCTAGCCTAAGTATCAAAGGTTAAACAGACTGCTTCAGTCCTGATTTAAAATAAAAGACTTTTAGTTTAAAACTGTTTGAACTGTGTAAGAAAAATGGAATTTAATTGTTACTGTTATAATTTATGTATTGCTTTCTTTGACATCTGCAAGTTCCTATTCCTTTCTTTGGATATATACTCAAAATTAGAATATAAGCTCCTGTAAAACTCCTTCTTCAGAAAACAATACTCCTCAGTCCTGTTGTGAGGAAAAGATCGTGGGTGCTTTATGGATGTTAGCTCTGCAGGCTTACTGGAAATACTTTCTCCTGATCTCTGATTTCATGGGAAAACTCTGCAAAGGTACTTCATTAACCCACCTCTCTAGCAGAGGTCAGTTCTCACCATTCTAGGAAATGAATACTGATGCTGGTGCGGGGTAGTTGATGGCCTAATATGTTGTTCTTAGTTTTTAATGGCTGAAGGGCTAGGATTTTTGTAATAGGCAAGGCTGGAAAAAGTCTTTTTGGTGTCACATAAGTTGCTTACTTCTGTTACACTTTTGCTGTAACATAAGCATTCAGCTTCTCACTGAAAATGTTCGTTATGTTGGTCCCTTATATCTGCCTTCCTGTAGTTTATAACACAGAAAGCATCCTCTGCCGTTCATGGTCCAAGTGGGACTTGGTATGAGCAGTTTGTGATTTTTTTATTGGGGCTTTTTTTGCTGTTGGGGTTTTTTTGGTTATTTTTTGTTTGGGTTTTCTTGGTGGTGGTTTTTGTTTGGTTTTGGTGGGGGTTTTTTTGGTTTTGTTTTTTTTTAATTGAGACATGTCCTAGGCTATTTACATTTGAATGTTATGGGTGCATGAAACTTTGATTTTTAGCTGTCCTTTACTCTACAGGAAGGCTGTTATCTCTTTGGAATTTCATTACTTTGAAACCCCAAAATATTTCTTTAGGCCTTATTCTGTTTCTGGGGGGACACCCTGCTATGCTGGACAATTGGGTCAAATCTGTAAGACCTGAAATTGCTGGGCATTATGTGAGGAAAACACCCAATCTTCTTTAAAACAAAGAAATGGATGAAGTGTTCATTTTGGCTCTTTGATCTAGCTTTCATTTAACGGGCTTACTATTATTTTTTTTTCCTGAATATACTCACAGTGTGTTAACATTTTGCTGCCTTTCATGGGAATTATAGTTCTGGATGTTGTTTATGTAAATATTAACTAAGCCCATAAAAATTCAGAACTTTAAATAAGTGAGCTCTTGGTTCATTACTCCCTCTCTAATTCTAAGGCTTCCTAACAGCATCTCAGCCATGACATTTCTAATTCTGAAATAAGATATTCAATCTCCTATTTCTTTAAGATTTGTGGTTTTTATAGATTGCTTCTTTGGACAGGGCTGCAGACCAAGGGGCTTAGTAGGTATGAGACTTTCTAGAAATTATCTTGTGTTTTCTATACAATTAATTAAAAGTATCTACTTTGGGGAGCAGGGAAGACTACCAGTTTATCTTGAAATAAGCTTTCTTCATTTCATATTTTTGCATTGTATGAGTACAGTTACACAGATTAAATTAAATAATTGTCTTTAAAGGATAGCAGTACTTCACAGAGGGTAGGAAAATTCTAGATAGTACTCTGAGGGGAAAGTTAAGAGAAAAATCCCAATTTTAATTCAAGTCAGATGAAATACTAAATTATGTTGTTTTATACACGCCATGCAACTGAACAACTAAGGTTAAATATGAACCTCTGCATGGAGGTGTAAAGAAAATTCATTGAAGAAATACCATAGTAGAGCAACAAAAAGCGTGCAACAAATGGCTTCCACAACGTCTGTGATCTCATTAAATATTACAAATTGTGTCAAATGTTGTCCAGCAATGTTTTAAATTATTTTACTGGTTCTCTTCTGTGAAATTTACAGTAATACAAATCAGTAATTTGTGTTGTATAATTTTTATGTTATGTTTAAATAATCTGGTAACAGTCAGTGTAAATAATCATAAATTCAAATGCATCTCCCTAACTAGGGATTGCAACTAGTTTACTTTTAAAACATTAACCAGTTTAATAATTAAATGCTACAGTGTGCCATTGGCAAAGTCAACAAGAATGCAGGAAGGAGCTGAAAAACGTTTCTGGTTTCAAAAGCACCTAGGAAATATGTTTCTTTTCTGGAGTAGCAGCAGCAAAGCATCAATATAAACAGTTCTGCCTTTTAGAGATAATAGATCTATTTTACTAAGTTTAGCAATATTAATTTCGTTTTTCTTTTTTTTTTCCTTTCAGCCATAATCAGCAGACCACGTCATTTAGACATCCTGTGACAGGACAGGTTTCTCCAGAAAATATTGAATTTATTTTGCGAGAAGAGTAAGTAGTTTTATACCCATGTCAAGAGATCTAATTTACCTACAGTAGTTTAGCAGTTTGTCAGTTCTTCCAGTATTGTAGCGAAAATGTCATAGAGGTGGTTTGCGCTTAAAAATGTACTTCTCATTGTGGTAGTATGTTTTTGATTCTAGCACTGTTCCAAGTCAGGGCTTGAGAGAAAAATCTTTACCAAATCTTTACAAAACAAACAAACAACCCCCCAAAATAAACAAACAAAAAAGACAATATAAATAAGATACTTAAATAATAATGCTTTAGCTTTATATAAATATCAAATATACAGAAGTGAAAAATGTCTTTCAAGCAAACTGAAAGGTTTGTCCTGAAATTGAAATAAACAAAATGTTACTAGTTTCCATTGTAATTCCTTGGTTTTCTTATGTTTTAGGTTTTCTACATTCCCTGTCTTGGGCTGGTATTTATTACAAAATTTTTGATTAGGCATTCTTTAACTTATTCTAGAGAAATAGAATCATATATATTAGATTCCAGCTTATTTTATCCTGATTGTCTCATTTAAAAAACAAAAAGAAAAAAAGAATAAATGCATGTGTTCAAACTGGCGTATCTGGTGTATCAAACTGGTGTCTTTGGTGTTGGTTTGGATCACTCCCTGTTTCACTGTAGCATGTAACTAACTCCTGTCATCCTTGCTGCATGCTAGATTGCTCCTGGAATCCCTTCTGTAATGGGACAACTGTGTATCTTCCCTAGACAGAGTCTAGGAGAAAGTTCTTCTAAAACTTCTAAACACTTCTAAAACCACTCCAAAGGGCAAAAGGAACGGGACAACACCAGATAGCTTTTCCTTTTCCAGCCTAGTCTTCCAACACTGTTTAAGCAGCCTTTAGCCCTCCATGCATCACAGAGGCTGGGCATTGTGCTGTGATGGCCTCCATGTGGTGGCCTGTATGGCTGCCCGCATGATTCTGAACTTTGTTTCAAATTATGTGGCGTTTAATTTGCTTTACATTTAATTTAAGGTGGTATAGCACTGAGAAAAATGAGGCCCAGAGAAGCACCATGTGAGACTACCAGGAGACTGAGGCTTTTATGGCAATGTCTTCTATTGTGGACTAGGAGAGGAGAGGAGAGGGAAGGAGAGGAGAGGAGTAGAGCATGACTGTACAGCCCTCTGCTCAGAGCTTCTGGTACAGCCCTGAGACACACATCATATGGTTAAAAAAGAAACCAACCAACCAAAAACAACAGTAGCAACAAAAACCCATCAAAAACCTAACTGAACAGCTGCCCTCCCCCAAGCCCAAAGCAAATCCAAGGGCCAATCCTATGTGAAGGCCCATGCTGAGAACCAGAATGAAATAGAAGGTTGAACATATTTTGCAGTGCATGGGAGAGGCCTGTAATTAGGTACAAAGGCTGTGGGATAGCACTGAGCTGGAAGTCGCCCCAGGTGTTACGTGGTGTACGGGTGGCTTGCTGCTCAGGAGGGGCTTGGCTTGATAGAAGTATGGAAACAAGCTGCTCCAAGTCATTTAGTGAGGAGGACAGATGTCTTGCAATGGAGCAAATCTTAGACGGTATAGACAACAGCCACTGTGCATCTGTGTTCCAACTTCCATCTGTTAATTGATTTTTATTTAATCTATTGTAAAGGTTCAATCAAATTTAATGTAAAGAAAATCTGTACGTGTGTAAGGGAAAATAGGTGCTTGGATAGAACTCCTCCAAGTGCCTCCCTGGATTAGTCATGCTTCCCTGGGCTGTTTCTGGTCATGTAATTGTGGTAGCAGATAAAATACTAAAAGCAGAATTGAAAGAACAACTTGCTGGTGGCACATGGTTTTAGTCATCTTTTGTGTATGTTACAAACTTTTTTGGAAGAGAAATGAAAGTGTTTATTGTAATAGTTTTAAACTAAAACAGGGTAGGTTTAAACTGGATGTAAGGAAGAAATTCTTTACAATGAGGTTGGTAAAACACTGGAAGGGGTTGCCCAGAGAGGTCGTGGAGGCCCCATCCCTGGGAACATTCAAAACCAGGTTGGACGGGGCTCTGAGCAACCTGATCTGGTTAGCGGTGTCCCTGCTCCCTGCAGGGGGGTTGGACTAGATGACCTCTAGGGGTCCCTTCCAATCCAAAACTTTCTATGATTCTATGATTTGGAGGGCAATCAGATGAACGGGCATAACTTGTCATATCTAGACTTCAATTACTCACACTGATGAGGTATCAAAAGCAGGAAAAAGATCTTACAATGTAGTAGAATTGATAGAGACAGGTGGGTTTTATTCTAAAAGAAGAGGGAATGGCTGGAAGGATACAGAGAAGAGTATGTGTTTGTAGTGACTACTCAGAAACAGTCTTTGCGAGAACATTTTTTTGTAAGCTTTATTATTGGCCTGAAGTACATAGTGTTTTTAAACTTTGATGGTTTTAATACATCACTTCAAATTACTTTAAAGATGTCATTTTCAAGTGTGTTGAATGCTCTGGTTTCCTTAGTTTTGTACTGCTGCTGTGTGACAGTGTAGGTTTTACACAGATGCTGTTCATCATGGTCATATCTGAGTTCCTGTCAAAAGACACTGTTGACATCTGTGGATGTGTCTGCTGAAACCAGAGCTGTTGGCACCTCCCTGTCTTTAGGCCTAGGAATTGTAATGGGGCTGTGCCATGTTTTCAGTTCTTTTCCTTCAGGCATCAGGGGTTTGTATGGAAGTGGTGTTGATCATGTGTTAGTTTGAAGTCAATGTTGTAGATTGTATCTTGCGATGAAATGACTTTCACAAACGGGACACAGTTGGAAAGATAGTCTCTGGATTTGCATGGTCTGTGGAATCCCTTTGAGCTTTTTTCTATAGCTGAAGAATCCTGTCTGAAGTAGTAGCACTCTTAAGGGTTTCATAAAGGGCAATTTGTTCTTCAGTGCTGTTGTGATGTCATTTATTACTTACAGTAACTTACAGATTTTAATTTAAGATCAGGGCCAAAGCCAGGAGTTGTCACTAGATGTTTACTGGGAGCCAGCGGGGAGATGTAAGCACAAACTGCTTCAGGCTGCAACAAATGTGTCTGTTAAAAGTGCGCATTTAACATCAGAAGATAACTTACAGTAATCTAGAAAGGATGAATGTATGGACTGCTCTGGCCATTTCTCACCCAGGGAGCAATGTTGTGGCAAGAAGATTTGAAAAGAACTTTTGGAAAATGATGTCAATAAATGACATAAGCCTAACTTGATTATGAGTCAGTTATGAGCCAGACACCCTTGCCTCACTTGGTCAGATGAGAACCAGATGCTTCCAGTAGAAAGCTGAGGCTGTATTTCACTAGTCTTTTTCCAAGGCATTTCCCCTTTTAAACAATATCACACCAGTCTTGCTTTTTAAGCCAAAATCTGATTTCCTCAACTCCAGTGTAACTGGAGGACAAAACCAGAGAATATTGCCTGGGACCTATATCTTTTAAATTACATTATCTTTTGATCCTTACGCTATTCCTTCTTCCTAAAGGTGTTCTTATTTAGATTTTTTTGAGAAGCAGGGATAATAGTTCCTTATTTTCTAACCCATTCTTAGCTGAGACCGCTGTCAAACCCCACCTTTCATTCTGTTGTCCAAGCTGGCAAGCTTTGGTCATCTAGTGTGTGGGACATGTGTGGGACATGTGTACCTTTCACTAGCCCTGCTTGAGTGCTAGCTTTTCGGCATGAGGCTGAAAGATTTATCTTTCGTCTGATGGAGTGATTGATTATAGGTGCATGCAATATTCAATGTAAGAGCCCATTGTTTCTTACAAGAATTTAATTATACTTTTTCTTCTCTATTCCTTTTCTAATAATTCTTAACATACTTCGAGTGCTGCTAGTCATTCTGCTAAGATTAAAAAATATCCTTTTCTCAGATTTCTAGGGTTGTTTTGAGAGATAAAAGCTGCAGAGATATTTTTAATTTCTCCCTTCTTTGAATTAGTTTTTTGTTGTTGACATTAAATTCAGTTTGGCATCTTATCACATGATTACTCATATCTGAAGATTATTTTTCTATCTATTCCTGCCAGCATTTCCATTTTTGTGTCCAGACGAATTTTTGTCCTCTATTGACTTGGTCACCTCACAGTTTTCAGGATAACCTCTAAATAATTTGGACACGTTGGCTATATGGAAAGTCCCTCTGGTAGCCTCCCTCCATTTAACAACCGTATCTTGATTTCTATGCTTTACTTTCATGTTTTTAATGAACTCTTAATCCACAAGGGGACCTTTCCTAAACAAACAATGCAAAAAAGAGTGTTAAAGATAAGGCTGCTGGACAAGTGTTAGATATAGTTTAACCATATTGTTACATGTGCATTCCTCTGAAAAATCTGTGATAGAATTACTTAGGGTAGGTGTATGTAATGTTTAGATTTCTTCCGTATTATCTTTCTTTAAATAACGGTTCTTCAAATAACTGACAGCCGTGTATCTATTTGCATCTGTTGCTAAACACTAGTAGCTGGGTATTAGAAATTTTACAATATATTTCTGATAGTATTATGTTTGCGAATGAGAAGATAGTACTTTAAGGTTAAAAAAGCTAAGACTTCAATATAATGAAGAATGGGCAGTTGCAATGGCAAGGGGTAGCAGGAGGAAAAGACTTCTTCCAAAGCCTGAGGTGCCCTTGCAGAACCTCTTCACCGTTCTGCAGACTGAAGAGGAAAGACCCATCGTGCCTGGAGAGACGCTGGAGCTGAGTAACACAGCCCAATCTGCTCCCTGTGCAACCAGTGCAACTAAGAAAAGGCAACGGGTGATAGTAGTAGGTGACACTCTTCTGAGAAGTACAGAGGCACCCATTTGCCAACCTGGCACACTCTCTGGATAAGGAATTGGCTGGATGGTTGCACTCAAAGAGTTGTGGACAATGACTCTATGTCCAAGTGGGGACCAGTGGCAAGTGGCATTCCTTAGGCATCAGTATCGGGACCTGTTTTAACGTCTTTGTCAGCAATGTGGACAGTGGGATTGAGTGCACTCTCAGCAAGTTTGCCGACGACACCAAGGACACCAAGCTGTGTAATGCAGTCGACATAGTGCACTCTCAGCAAGTTTGCCGACGACACCAAGCTGTGTAATGCAGTCGACATGCTGGAGGAAAGGGATGCCACCCAGAGGGACCTTGACAGGCTTAACAGGTGGGCCCATGTGAACTTCATGAAGTTCAACAAGGCCAAGTGCAAGGTCCTGCACATGGCTTGGGGCAATCCCAAGCACAAATACAGTCTGGGTGGAGAATGGATCAAGAGCAGCCCTGAGGAGAAGGACTTGGGGTGTTGGTTGATGAGAATCTCAGCATGACCTGGCAATGTGCACCTGGAGCCCAGACAGACAATGGTGTCCTGGGCTGCATCAAAAGAAGCATGGCCAGCAGGTTAAGGGAGGTGATTCTCCCCTTCTGCTCTGCTCTGGTGAGACCCCACCTGGAGTACTGCATCCAGCTCTGGAGTCCTTGGCACAGGAAAGACATGGGGAGCTGTTGGAGCAGGTCCAGAGGAGGCCACAAAACTGATCCGAGGGTTGGAGCACCTCTCCTGTGAGGAAGGGCTGAGAGAGTTGGGCTTGTTCAGCCTGGAGGAGAGAAGGCTCCAGGGAGACCTTACTTCAGTACTTCAAGGGGGTTTAGGAGAAAGATGAGGACAGACTTTTTAGTAGGGCCTGTTGTGATAGGACAAGAGGGTAATGGTTTTAGACTAAAAGAGAGTAGATTGAGATTACATGAAAGAAAGAAATTCTTTACTGTAGGCATGGTGAGGCACTGGAACAGGTTGCCCAGAGTTGTGGATGCCCCACTGCTGGAAATATTCAGGGCCAGGTTGGATGGGGGTTTGAGCAGCCTGGTCTAGTGGAAGGTGTCCCTGCCCATGGCAGAGGGGTTGGACTAGGTGATCTTTCAAGTCCTTTCCAACGCAAACCATTCTGTGGCTCTATAATTCTATATGTATATACTGAGAGCCTAATGCAATGGGTGTTACCCTCTTTTTGCTTGTTTTTTGTGCAACTGATAAAGCCTGTGTATCACCTCTGGGGAGAAGAGCCATCTATTGCATTTGGTTACTATAGCAGCAAAAATATCAGGTGGCCAGAAAGGAGGAAACCCAAACAGCCCCCATATAATCAGTCATGTTTACATATAGAAATACTAGGACAGGTAATTTTTCATCTAGCTGAATAGGAGATTTATTAGTATTAAAATTAGATTGACATGATGTTATTGTGTCGTATTTGGTTTCAAAAAATTGCTGGTATGAATGTGGATCTAAGTCGACTAATCTTTATGATCCTTTAGAGAAAAGGAATGTGTTCTCTTGTGAGTATTGCATTTTCAAGATGGGCTACTGGTGTAATAATTTTTTTATGTTACTCAGTGTGGGTTTTTTGTTAATAAACCAAATAGTGGCCATGTAATCCTTTTAGCTGGTAAATGTGATTTCTGTAGACATACTAGCACTGTTTAAGTAGAGCAGGGAGTTGCTTGGCAGAAGATATTATATAGACTGTTATTTTCAAGTATTTTGAAAAGATTTAGAAGGCACTGGAGCTCCGAATGTACATACTGCAATTCTGCATGTGTATATACGCACCTCGGGATGGCAGTAAGAAAACTGTCCTGAAAACAGACAAAAGAACAGCCCTATGAAGACAGAATGGGATGTCTTGAATAACAGATGTTATCAAACACCTTTGGTAATAGTGATTCTGAACTGATGTTTCTGAATGCATAGAGTTAATGCTATAGTCACTTAAAGATTAATCTGTAAACGCTGTTAGGACAGTGTTAATGCCATTAACATGCTGGGATGTTTCAGGTAATTCTGCATATTCTGCATATTTTTATTTGCTTTTAGAAACAGACTGAGAATATTCATTAGCTGTTAAAGAGACTTGAATACTTGAGTTTTGTTATGTTCTGATTTCATGCAAATCTATTTTATCCTTGAAATACTATATATGAGTACTTAAATTAATTTTCAGTGTTGTTTGGTGTTTTCTGTTACATCTCATGTACAGGAAGTTTGTATCACCAGTGTTTGCTGCCAAAGGCTTCTTTTAGGAGGATAATAATGTTTTTTTTTCTCTTTTGCTGGATTTATTGTCTCTCTTGCTGGCTACGTGAGTTCTTCCACATGGCAACAACCTCGCCTTTTTTAAAAAACATTTTTCTCATTGTGACTTTGTTCTTTTCCCAGTTGAAGGTCGTCATTTATCTTGGTACTACTAGAAAAGGAAAGCTTGATTTATTGGCAGTGATCATTTTCGGTAGCAAGTGGAAGAGAAATTGCTAAATGGCCAAATTATAAATGCTTAGAAATTATGCATTTTTTGGTCTCTATTGCTTTGTGATTTTCTGATAGTGATGGTCATGTTAAACATATAAAGCTTATCTTCCTCTGTAGGTCTTCCAAATGTGGGGGTTTTTTGTGGGGTTTTTTTGGGGGTTTTTTGGGGTTTTTTTTTTTAAGCTGCAGTATCTTTAACCTACTGTGAAATAGTATCTTGGTGAATAGTGTAAATCCGTTCAATCTGCGTTTGCCTACCCTGATTGGTAGATTAAAGCCATTCCTCTGGGGTTATTTCTCCTTCCATATTAATGTTTTTCTTGGGAAAATTACTTCCGATTTGTTGAAACTCAAAATTTTAATTTTCATTTTTGTCTTTCCTGAGAAAGTTACGTCTCTCTGAAATAGCTACTCTGTAAATGGAATAAATGTAATCTAATCAGATAATCTATCATCTGAAAACCTACAGATTTTCTGAATATGTATATTACATGCTCTATCCTCTTCCCTCCTCCTCCTCCTTTCCCCCTTCCTTGTCCCAGTGAGCATCTGGAAAATAAAATGTATTGTGTGACTGTCCTACAATATAAAACTTTTTTGTGGTGTGGATGTTGTAAAGAATCTAAGCCTCAAGGGAAGAAGAGAAAGTTTGTGTCTTCTAAGGCCAAATACTTTCCTTGGATGTGTTTTGTTTTCATGCTTTTGCAACTCATTTCTAGTGGCCCTTTTAATGATAGAAAATCTAATACTTTATAGATCCATTTTGAGCAGGCAATAAGACTGTCAGATCTCAGTGTTCCTTCCTCCTTGAAGTACCTACTCTCTGTTTAGTTGGCTCAAGCAGGGAAGTAGAAACTTTTTGATGCGTAAATATTAGGAAAAGGCAAGTAAGATGGTTTTGCAAGTAAAATGCAGGCACATTGTAAGTCTGCTTTTTCTACCTGTTTTGAAAGTTTATAGAGTGGAAAAGGAACAAGTGAGAACAGAGTCAAAAGCAGGTAATTAAACTGGCTGATCAACAGAAATAGCTTAGTTGGGCAGCGTTATATACGGGAAGTGTCTTAATCTGCTCTTTGCTGGAACTGGATATTTGTAAAGCTGATTAAATGCTGAAGTAGGATACCTGGTCCATAAGAGGTAAGGCAAATTGGCTCAGACTGGTGTGATGAAGCTCTCATGCACTAAAGGCTGGCCAGGGATTTTAGGGTCTTGCTGTAGTTTGTTCTCATATCTTGGACCTGAACTTACATATAAAAGCTAGAAAGAAGGTTTCTGCCAGGTAAGCAAGGCATAAAGGAAACGGGATCAAAGGTGTGTTACTTCCTTGCAAGCTTAATTGAAACTGTGTGGTCATAAATGGAAAAATGTGGTTTCCCAGACACCAAATTAACTATAAACTTATTGGACCAGTAGTTGTTCAGGTTGTACCTGAGGAAGAGCAATGGTGGCAAACACCTTTTCCTCAGTTAAACCCTGTGCTGAGCTACTACAATCACAAACTCCTTTTCTCTGTTGTTCTGAGTGACAACTGCTCAGAAATACTCCGTTCTTCTTACCTTCAGAATTGGACTGAATTTCAGTGGTAGCAATGGTAAAGTTTGGTTTGGCTTCTATGTCTTGTTGGGTTTTTCTTCTCTTTTAAATAAATGGCTTTGGTAACTTGTTGAGATGGGAAAAGGAAAATCATAAGTTGTTAATAGTTTGGTTTGTTTTTCCTGATGTGACTTTATTGCTATTTGTTCCTAAAATACAATTTGCTAAACTATGTTGCTAAAGATTTTTGAAAATACTAGCTCTGGGTTTAATTCATAAGTTGGTGTTGAGCTTGGCTGCTGAGGCTTCTCTTCACGACCTGCATCTGGAATTCCACAAGATATTGCACTTCTGTTTATTCTCTCATTTCTTCATCTGGGCACCTGCACTGAATTCTTTCTTGTTGAACAGGTTCTTATGGTAGGATTGATCTCACCTATGCTTTAAATGGGTATCTGCATCTGAGCTAGCTATCAAGATTTCTTGACTCTTAGTATGACTCAGAAGTTATTTATTTTTAACAGTATCTGCCATGAATTGCACTATTTCACTTTAAAGGTATTTTAATAATTCATATTGTAGTATGAATCATATTTGGGGCAGATTCAAAGATCTAACATTAAGTTAGTGAAAGATCTAACAGCAGGCTAATCTCACTTTGATTTTGAATAAGAAGCCCGTTACTGCAAAGTGCTGACTCCTGTCCTTCCCTCCCCAGAGCTGGCTGTCTTACATGTTTGCAGCCAAGCCTCTAAATTGGGCACAATTTAATTTCTCTGCATTAGCCTTATCTTCTCTGAGTGCTCTTTGTTATATCTTGATTCTCTGTTGGATTTGCAGACCATTTGGCAGGTTTCTTCCTCCTGATACATTGACAAATACCGATCATCAGATGCCACTGGCAGCATCTGCTTGAGAAATACCTGAAATCAAAATAATAGGGGTGGTGCAAAGGAAGTTGCAGATGCATGGGAAATGTTTGACTGGCCTGTCATTCATTTGCTAACTGTGAATCTTAAATATAAAAAGGAAAAGCTGACTGTTTGAAACAATGTGCTTTAGATTATCTGGTTTTCTTTGTTTTCTAGACAGAATTCATCTATGTCCAAGCAACAAATAAACCAAAGACCTTCAAGCATGGTCAGTGAAGCGTCCACTGCGGTAACTACATCTGCTGTTGATACAAAACCTGGCTCTAAGGTAAAGGAAAAAGACTATTGTTTCAGCTTGGTGATTAGAACTTCACTCACTTTAAATCCAATACTCTTTTAATGCTGATTTTACTAGGGCCATGGGTTTAGCCCGGAAGTCTAATAACTTACCTCAAATAAGAGGTAATATCTTCTACCAAAGCAAAAACCTTTTTACAGCATAGGAGCACTGTATACTGACATGACAGTGTTGAACGACAATTCAAAAAATAGTGATTATTGTGACATGTAAAGTTTGAGAGGCTTCTTAAGAACAGAAGTATTTGTAGAACTAGTATTCCAGCAAGTCTTTTGATAGTCCAGTGTATATGGCAAAAAGTGCTGCAGAATACCAGGAATCGTAATTTGCAGTTCTTTCTCTTTCATGAAACCTTACTGCTGTTCCTCCTCTTAGTAACAACTTAGATCCTTTTCTGCCATCACTGTAGTGCACAAACACTGCAGACACAAAGTTTACACTCAGAATGTTTAATAATAGAAAAATCCATTATTTGGCATTGACAAGGGACCTGTGTTTATTGCTGCTTAAAATATAAAAAAGTGCTGTACTTGAAGTGTCACCAACTATTTTAATGCTTCTTTGACCTTACAGTAAATTACAGTACAGTGTGAATGGGAGGGGGTTGGATAAAAAGAAGCAAAAAAAAATACTGAAGGAATTGGCAGAGATAAGATAGATCTCTTAACTTTGCCTGCAGTTTTAAAATTTTCTCAGTTTTTTTTAAATACAGAAGTGTGAAGCCTGTTAAGTAATTGAGCTGAAGAAAGGACTTTGCTAGATTGGTTGCAAAGATATTTTTGTTGAGTTGGAATAATTCCAAATCTTTTTATAATGTTTCAAATTGCTTGGGTGAATATTGGAGAAGATGAAAACAATTTAATGAAATTTCATGGGAACCTGATACTCTGCTTTGAGCTGGGGATTTCTCCAGTGACGCAGTTGGCTTTAAATTACCCAGTATCACACTTCTGCCAGAAAGTGTGCATCCTCTGTCGCCTGCTGCTGCTGCTTCCCTTTGACACGTGTTTGCACCAATCTAATCGGGCTTTGCAAAAGAGTGAGATCAAAAATGGTGACTGGATGCAACTTCCAGGCCCACCCACATGCTAGAGGCTAGTTCACTGGAGACATCAGAACCGCACATCTACAGGTGAGGGTAATGCTCTTTCCCCCACAGCTTGGAGAATATCCAGAATCATCTCTTAAAAATTCAGTTGGTCTGGTTTTGGTCCCTGCTTCTGTTTTGTTTGCAGTCCGGTGTTTAAGTGTGGCCACGCATGCTTCTGGCAGGCTCACAGATGTTGCTTTTTTTCTAATACATGGCAGCTTTAGACTTTGAATAGAGCTCTAGTAGCATGTTGGAAAGAAGAAAAAGAAAAAAGCCCAAATGAGGCTTATACTTATTGAAATGTCATTATGTTTTATTGATGTGCATATAAATATATAAGGCTTCATTTTGTAAGACAACTGAGATGGGCAGTTTTGCAGAAATGCACATAAATCTTGGGGTGGGCCCCACCATTTTGATGCTGGCATCAAAGTTGTCTGAAGGCTTTAGACCAATACAGTCTACCCTTCTTTTTGAAATTTGAGGGGTATGGAATTGAGGGAATAAAAAGCAAAAGGGCATGCTGTTAAACCACAATGGTTCTCTGTCCCAGAGATCTACTTGTTCATAGCCAATTCAATTACATTATTAACCATATTAAAAGCCATTTATATTGATTACAAATGAAGAATATGGAGGAGTAAAGATCTGTTTCAGTTTGAGTATGGTACATTTGGAATTTAGTCTGTTAAAGCTTCCAATGGCGTGAATGGAAGCTTGTAAATGTTACTGTGCTACACAGTACTTGGGCCAAGTTGAAAGCGTAAAGGATAGTAGTGTAATGTATTTATTACTATCTACGTTTATGAGAGCGTGTCTTGGATGGATTCTGTGCAAGAGAAGTAATTGAATTGTTGATGACGCTGGTAGTTGCTGGTATTTTTCCAGGATGAACTGGTGAGGATTGCAACAAGTAATTAAAGAACATGTCTAGCAGTTGAGAGAAACAGGCAATGGTAGCAGGTATACGACGGTGCCAACTCTGTGGGACCACGCAGAGCTGGAGCACAGAACAGAGGGATTAGTTCAGGGCCACTGTAGATGAATGCTCAATATTAAGAGCAGGGATTTCTGAGAGTTTCAGGTTTTCCTATCTGAAAAGTAAGGATTTTGTCTAATTTACTCAAAGACTCTGAAAGGATTCATGAATTCATTTATTAGTGAAACATTGAGATTTTTTGAATGGAAGAGTTCATGACTTAGAGTTGAACAGGTGGGGTTTTGTTTTGTTTTTTTTTTTTAATTTCCTGTAGATTGAAAGTTACATGTTCTCTTATGTGTGCGTATATATACATATTTTTACCAATACAGTCTTCCTTTTTGCTATTGAGAAAATCTGTTCCAAATGAAAGGCTGTTTACATTTTTCTGACTGTCCAGTTTTAGAAAAAAAAAATAAAATTACATTTTATAATTAAGTTAGCAACTTTCCTCCTCAGCTAGAGGCTATTGTAAGGAAGATGACGCAGTGATGAAAAGGGATTTGAAAATTTTGGCTCCTGACGTTTTGATTTTTTTCCAAAAACTTGAGTCATTCACAAACAAGCCAGCATAACAAATGGGTTGAAGTCAAAAGTGACTTCTTTGTCTCCAGTGACACAGGCAGCTGCTCTGACCTGTATTTTTCAACACACGACAATGATATCAGAATATCTTAAGTTAGGAAAAGACAACTGCAGTACAGACAAATATTTTAAAGAATATACCTTTTGTTTTAAACTAATTTTTTATTCTAGCCAGTGGAAGCAAAGCCTGACATTCAGTATCTGTTATGCTTTGTTTTATTCCAGAGCAGGCTGAGATGATCAATACTACAGATGATACAAAAATTTTAGTTAAATAAATCACCATAAAATTATTTTTTGTTTCTATTACGGGTATTGTACTGATGTAGATTACACAACCTTAGGAAAATTTTTTCCCCTCCCATGTAATAGAAATTGTTTGGTCTTTTGACCAAGTCCAGGGATGACTTTTCTACATTGTGATCTGCATTTTTTTTTTAATTAAATAAGGTCAGAGAATCAAAGTGCTTTGATCACTGGCAAAGGATCTGATGAAACAAATTTAAACCCTTCTGTCAGGCTAGATCATCTATACTTTAACTGCTTCTCCATTCATCCACCCTTCCTAGGGTAAATAAGAGAAAGAAAAATTAGGAAACTAAATTCTGTACATTTTGTAAATTGACTTCTGTTCAGATGCAAAGCATAGATTTTTGCCTTACAGAGTCTTAAATAGTTATTATCTCAGTGTACTGCTTCTGCCAGTCAGGCCTCATTATTTTTCATCACCCTTTTAATGTAGCTGTTGCATCTAACATTTGGCAACGGTTTTTTAAAATCTTGGCTGAATTGATTACTTATCATTTTTTCTTAAGAGAAAATATGTATGGCTCGGCCTGATGATCATACGATCATCCAGCGCTTGGCTGTCCTCTTGATGCATCTTTGTGTGTTCGTTTAAAGTGGTATTTGGACACAGGTTCACAAATTATCTTCTGAAATATTTTCAGTAGCAAACACAAAATGCCTAACACCTTATTTCTTCCTTCCTTTAGTCTCAGACTTGCTGCTTGCAGGTCTGCGAGTGAGCATGGACAGCGATTTTGTGGTTGTAATTGACACTCCGTGTTCACACAGAGCCAGCGCTGGGCAGCCTGTTAGCTGAATGCCTTAGCACAGGTATGCCAGAGAAATGGGTTTTGGGAGATCTCAGTGATACTGTCCTCACCTGGCTTTTACTGTCAACTGGTTATTGCCAGCTGAATGGCAGGGGGATCTGCTCAGAAACCTGTTGCTGTTTAAAACCTGGCCTGTTAGGTTTGTGCTAGCCCTAGACAGCTGGGCGGCTCAGGTTATCTCCTGTGCTGCCCTGGGCTGTGGGTAAATCTTGTGCAGGTTCTCACTGAGGTATCAGGTGAGGTGTCACCCCTAGGAAAAAGGCCATACTTGGCATTCTTCCTGTCTCCTAAGTGTTGGGCATTTCACCGAAAGGACCGTGGCATGCAGCTCACCTGGCTTTTCAGCAGAGCTGAAAGCAGCATGCTGCTTCCTGGTAAACAGATATTGGGGGAACTACCTAGTAAAATCTGCCCTTTGATATCTCTTTATAAGTGTTAAATCTACATTGCTGTTTTAAGTGCTATAGCACCAAAGAAAAAGTGTTTTGTTTTGTTTTTCTTACTGACTATTGCTATTATCTTAATCTGCATTAAGATGTGTGCTTATGTCTACTGAAATGTGTGAGATTTAGTGCAGGTTGGTAAAACCAGGCCTCCGAATTAACAGAATCCATTTCATGTTATCATATAGTGCTAGAATATTTTATTATGATGTATGCTGTCTTCTAGTCCAGATGTGACCTGACTGGCAGAAGCAGTACGCTGAGATGATTTTGTTGTATCATCCCTTGTGTATGACAAATGTGCTCGTTTCCAGAGCTGCTGTTGATCTGCAGCTGACAGAGCATCAGTACCCTGACCATCTGAGAGGACAGATTCAAACAAAGGAGGAGACATTGTGGAAAAGAGTCAGTGTGTGAATCTGGACAGCTCTTTCCTTGGAGAAGTTGGGAGCAACTGTAAGGGTGGTTTGTGCACCTCAGGTTCCCAAAGCAATTGCAGTAGCAAACTGTGCTGAGACTGGGACAGAACAGGCAGATTGTTCATCTGGAGATTCTTGCTGCCTTTTTCACAGACTGATAGGCTTTTATTGTTTGGTTTTGAAATAGTTTTTCCCATGTGAGTCAAAACTGAGGTTACAGTAAAACACAAACCATTACCTAGACCTTGTGATTGCCACTTATGCTGTCTAGGTCTCCTCCTTAGCAGTGTCGCTCTCTGTCTTCTCCTTTTGTTTGCAGGGTCAAAGTCCAAGCATTTTATTAAGCTATCAATGTTGTCTGAATTTAAACAGGAAAGAAACCCACAAACAATGCCTACCTGCCCCTTCTCCCCCCCCTCCAAACACCAAACATCAAGAGCAGGATTCCTGTGCACAAAGTCTGGTGCATGTAAGAGATTTGTACCATGCTGCAGAGAGAGACTTGCATGCAGCTCTTGTAGCGCACTCAAAAATACTTCCCAAGCACACTAAAACTGCAGCACTTTTGCCTTTCAGACTTCAGTCACCAGTGCTGCTGCTGTTCAGCTGGGAGCTGGCAGACTGTCCTGGCACTGATATATTGATGAAAGTGAGAGATTTAATTTGCTATGTTATAAATATCACTGTCTATTTACTTGCCCTTGAAAATGCTAGAAATACTTAATACTGTGTAATGAAGTATGAATTATTGCGGTGAGGTTATTTTTAATATGAAATGAGTCTCAGTACAGTTTAAAAGCCACTGCTACATTATACTTCTTTACAGGTTGTGAAGGCTGGAAACAAAGTTCATAGCTTTGGAAAGAGAGAACAAGCTATCAGGAGGAATCCCAATGTTCCTGTTATAGTAAGAGGCTGGCTACACAAGCAGGTATGCATGTAATCATCTGTTTCTGTTCATATACTTCAATACAATCATCAAATAAAAGTAAGTGCCTTCCAAGTAACTGAAAAAACCCCAGAAGGTTAAGTGTTGGTGATGCAGGGCAACGTTGGGTACTCCCACAAGCTTCCGTAATGAGGGACTTGTACTCAGCAAGTGCGAAACCCAAGTTTTATGTACAGGTTTGAATCAGAAGTGGAAACAATGATAAATGGGCGTTGCCATCATAGTTAAATGTTGAGGCTATAACTTTGTTGTCTAAGTCTGGTTATTTTCCCTATTTTATCCTGCTGGCTTGCTGCCATGCTGATCTCAGTCTCCCTCAGAATGCACTATAAACCCAAGGCTGGCTGTGAAGGTCGTATTCCATCTGCTTGCTTATGCCCTTATACCCTGATCAAAGGCTTAATTCCAATCCCATACACCTTTTGTTCTCCAGAAGCAGGAGGGAGAAAGCAAAGGGAGACAGGGACACGTTCACCACACTTTGCTATCACTAAGAGCAGTGTCCAGGCAAAGGCTGGATTACAGGATTTCATCCAACAAACAGAATTTTACAGCTGCTGCATCTTGAAGTCTTAAGCTGACAGAAGCACATCCTTGAGTGCAAAAAGTGAATAAAGCTGATTGTTGTATGAGGATACATCCCTGCTTCTAATTTGGCAGTCAGAGTCCATCCCATTATCACTAGAGATCCAGCAGCTAGGTTTAGCGATGAGTAGGAGAAGGCTGAAATCTAAGGCTTACAATTATGATTCTGCATATACAGGAAAGTGAAATTGCTGACAGCCGTCTACTTCCTCCTGCGTGGAGAGCTGTATCCTGCCATCAACTCTGTTGACATTCACTACCCAAGTCATTAGTTTTCAGGACAGAATCAGAACTCAGACACAGTATGTGTTGGCAGCATTGTAGCATGAAAAAGGAAAGGGAAGAAAGTCCTTGCATATTAATATGGCTGCAGAAAGAAGAAGGGAAATACCATATACAACGTTCCTCTAGCTATTTCCTTTGTCCCCTTTCCTCTGCTTGCAAGCACTTAAAGCCTGAAGATGCTTTCTGTGCTGCTGGTCTTACCAAAGCCTACCTCAGCTGAATAAGCTGTACTTGCTTAGGTTACAGTCTGGCAATTTTACAAGCTTCTAAAATTAATTTTGATGAAAATATTACTCATTTTGACAAGGTGATATATATTATATATATCTCTCTAAAGATATATAGATCTCCGCAGGCATATTATATTATACTTCATTAAAATTTGCACATTATGCACCCTGTTTTATTTCCTAAAGAATATTCGATTGTTACATTTTAGGCATGGGTGACATATGGGAGATTGACTGTAGAATTATAGGGGTTCATTGTTTGAAATGTGAGGCCATGCTTCACAGCTGTGTAGTGATTTTCATCTTGGGCTACAGGCAATCCTTGTTGGAATTTGTGCCATCCAGATGCATACTTTGTTTCTTTATTGGAGGATAAATCTGTCTAGATAAAATATGCATTGGTTGTGTATAAGGTTAATCTGAATGCTGTTTGGGATGCGAGTTTAATTACTTAATGAAAATTAGCAGATTGAATACTCTACCTTGATTATTTTATATCTGGATGTTTTGCCTCTTATCTTTCTTAGTACATAATATTTTGCTAAAATATAAACCACTTGTTTTTGCAATTAATACCATATTTAGGTAAACTTCTAGAAAAGCATTGCCTGATAAGCTGTTAACTTTCCCTAAATGAAAAGTGTATCACATTTCTTGTATTTCAGGATAGCTCTGGAATGCGATTATGGAAAAGGCGATGGTTTGTTCTTGCTGATTATTGTTTGTTCTACTACAAAGGTGAGTAGATACTAGCTTTTTTGAGTTAGTCTGTAACAGTTCACCTGTTCAAATCACATTGCAAGCATGAACTAATTGAACTCTTCAGACATAGTTAGTTATTCTGAGAAGGTGCATAGTGAAACAATTACTTATGGATATGTCTTTAATGTGCAACAAATTTCAGGCCTGAGTTGGGGAACAAGGGCATGCTGTATGATCTTTTGTCACATAACTTATCTTTGATATATGCCAAGGTTTATGTTGCAAAACATTTGGCAGCAATACCAGTTTAAGATTTATTCTGCCTCTGGTCTGCATTGTATTACCTACTTGCCTGCACTTGGACAGCTGATTTTTTGAGAATGCACTATGGCCAGATCAGGGCATTGATTCAGCTTTAATCCAAGGGACAGTGTAGGAGCGAGAACTACTGAATCCAGTATTTCTACCAAAAAAAGCTAGATGTGATCTTAGCCTGAACTAGGAATAATGGTATTACATAAGGTTATTTTGAAGTTTTGAATATTGTGTTGTGTGTTACAATTTTTGGAAAGCCTTACAGAATATGAAACTCTAATTCATAGGCGCTGCATTTCTGCTGCTGATCATTTCAGAGCCAACAGTAATAGAGGTTTCCTAATTGTAGCAATTAGCCTAGATGTAGAACGCCAAATGGACGGTCCATCATGTTATGCAGCCTGTCAGAGTTCATTTGTCACAATAAGCTTTATTCTCAAAGCGTATTCTGTCTGAACCTAAAAAATCATCCTCCTCACCCCCAAAACCCAAACTGTTCTTTTTCAAAAAAAATTCAATCATGTTTCTTTAAAGAAACCCAACATTTTTCTCCATGTATTATTGGTGTTGAATCAGAAGAAAATTCAGATCAGAGGGGCCTTCACGAAGTATCTAGTCCAACCACCTGGTGAAAGCAGGGTCAGGAAAGAAGTCAGCCCAGGTTGCCCAGGGCTTAATCCAGTCAGGTGCTGAAAACCTCCAAGGGTGGAGATGGCACAGCCTCTCTGGTCAGCCTGTTCCGCTGCTGCTCTGTCCTCATGGGGAAAATTCTTTTCCTTATAGCCAGTCTGAACCACTTTTTTTCTACTTAGTGCCTGTTGTCTGTGTGTCCATAAAGGAGAATGTATTGTTACCCCACTGAAAAGTGCAGTGAATTAAATTCTTTTTTTTTTTTTTTTTTTTTTTTTTTTTATTCAACAGACAGTAGAGAAGAATCTGTTTTGGGTAGCATACCATTGCCTAGTTACGTAATATCTCCAGTTGGACCTGAAGATCGCATAAATCGCAAATTTTCTTTTAAGGTACAGTTACAAAGCTTATTAGCTAATCATATTTTAAAATGTTTATTTGCATTAGAAAGGAGGCTGTTCTAAACAGTATCATCTGCTTTCCAATTTTATTTATTTAATTTTTTTAAAAGTAGACAGGTTTATTGACTGCCTATTTAAACGTGACATAGCACATTTTGTTGCTTATGAATTGACATTCATACGTCTGTTACTATGTAAGTGTCTCTAGAGATTAAGAATGTGTCTGTGAGTAAAGATCCTGTTTCTAAAATTAGAAATTATCATTGGTAAGTTGTTCCAGTGCTGTTTGCAAATTGAAAGAAAAGTTGTCGTTTTTTCCTTATAGCGTACTTGATCTCATAGTGGACTGATGGTCTTTCGGTTTTGTTGTGTTCTTCTTTAAATAAAATAATCAGCTCTGTTCTCGCAGTTAGAAAATGACAACACTGTAGCTTTTGATGTATAATTTACTCATTTTAAGGGGAAAAAGAGTAACCAATTTTTTTCTCCTTTTTTGGGGGGGGAGCAATAATTGTCTTAAGAGGCATGGAGTTTTTTAAAGAAAAAATACTCTTGTTTTTATATAGTTTGAGGTTGGTTTTGTGGTTTGTTTTTTTTCTTTTTTTAAAAAAATGTATTGTATAATTTACAGTTCTATTCTCTCTTACATAAACCTACGAATATGAAATAAAACATACATTCTTTCTTGACAGTGGAGAAACCTAACTCCAGTTGATTGTCTGAGCTGCAGCAGTAAGGCAAAGTTTAGAAATTTCAGTGTATGTTGCAGATTTAAATTCTGCCGATACTTGGAGCAGAACCTGTTTTTCTACCAAGTAAATGAGCGATGTACTTAAAAATCTAAGTTTAGAAATCAGATTTTGATTAGGTATACTTTAGGATATCCAGAAGGAAACTTTCTGTTTAAATCTTTTCTGTGCTGAAATTGCAAAGAACATGTGCTCAGCTTAGATTTTCTCTTGCATTTTGATTTTTGGGGTGTTTTATAACTGTAGACTGCCTTGTGTTGCTTTGGGTTCTATCTTCAAGCAGATAATGGTTTGAAATTTATTAAACAAATATTAGCTTGGGAAATGTGTTTAAAAAAAGACCCAGTGCACTTTGTGGAAATGCTTGTTGTACTTTTTCAAATGTGTTGAACATGAGACAGTAGGACAAGCTACAAAGAAACCTTTGTTTAGGAAAAACATTCCACTCCAATATTTAATGAGTGTCATTCATCAAGCCCTCCTCTTCTGGAGCCTTTTCCTAGGAAGAAGCACATACTGAAGGAGGAGGACCCAATGCACTTGTAGGCTTCTATGTCTCTTGAATAACTATTCGTGCAGACTGGGGAAGGAGATAAAGAAAGTAGCAATAGTACTTAGTGGCTTCAGAGTTTAAATAAAAAATCTGCTTTTTATTTTATTGAAAGGTTGTTTGAAAATTTTGATGGAATGTATATTAGAATTATTAACCAGTTTAACACTATCAGTGATAAGGGGAACTCTCCCTCCCCATGCAGATTCCAAGCAGTATGTTCTATAGGCAAGCTCTCAAGTCACCACTGCCAAGGTGTGCCTCTCCTTTCCTGTGGAGTAGAATCCATGGTTGTGATCATGGTTAAATGTTTTCAGGAGCAATTGCAGACTTCTCCTGTTCCTTTTAGGATAGCATACCTGTATGAGCACCACCAAGTCTTTAACCTGAGTCTTTTCCTGAAAATCAGCATGAGCCAGTAACGTGAGACTTACAACACAGGGTCATTGCTAAATAGTTGATACAGAAATAGGGAGTTGATAGCAAAAGAAACTTTATGCTTGAAATCTATTTAAAAAATCCAAAATGTACATTTAATATATTTGTTTGTCCAGCCAATCTTAACTCTGCTTTAGGTGTTTGATGATTGACTGCAGACTTGATGCTGTAGTTTGATTTTATTTAGAACCGAGTCCCAGGGCAGTAGGAGGATTTTGTAAGATTCCTGTCGCATGGACCCCATCCAACACTGATGTTCAGTGGTCGTGGAGTCGGCTGTGGGTGCACAGTGGCAGGAGCATGGCCGTACTGGCATTCCGTCACTCACCAGCCATTACCTTTATCTAATCTCTTCAGTACACTTCGATACCCAGAGCGTAGACAGACATTCTGTCTGCAACGTAGTACAGCCAGAAATAGAAAACACAAGCAGATTAAGCCCAAAATAAAGACAGGACTTTTTTGCATTTAAGTCCTGAATTAATGGGGGAATGTGCCGTGTCACTTTTTACATTTGGCCTGTCACTTATTCAGATTGTTGTAAATCCTCTTCCAATAGAGGCATTGCCTCGCATTTTAAATGGCTATTTTAAGTAACAATGAGTTTTTGAAGCTAGGGAAGCAGTCAAACTGAAAAAAATGTCAACATTTTGGTTTGTAAGACTAAAGGAAATATACTTAGCAAATACATGGATGCTTTTTGTATACGATTCAGTTAGAAGAAGGTTGCTAAAATACATGCACACTAGGATATATGTTAAACCCTGCTAACTGTTAAAATGTACACCGTAGGAGTTCTCAAAATTCTTTTCCTTCCTTCATCTCCCAAGGCCCAGCTTTCAGCTTTTGTACCTCTTTGGGTGTTGAACAATTACAGGCCTGCGGAACTGCATACAGGCTGTTCAAATGCAATCAAAACCCCACTTAGAAGTGTAGTAGTCTGTATGTTAAATTGTTTTGTTTAGAAACTCTGCTTTTAAGTATTTATCTTGACAAATATTTCACCTTATTTACTTGTTCCAGGCAAAGTGCTGTGACTAGCTGTATGCTACTGTCATGAAGCTGCGTGACAGCCTTTTAGAACTCAGGATCTTTACTGCATATTTAGTTCAGTAGCTAATATCTTAAAGGTATTTAATTCATCTAATTGCTGTATTTTTTAATACAGTATTTTTTAGCTGATACAAAAGTGAGGGAGCACAAATACAATGTATAGATTTTAATGTGAAAAAGTTTGCACAATGTTAATATATAGCCAGAAATAATCCCTGTGATTAATAGAGAATTGGCTGTACTTTTTTAGTGATAAAATTTTAAGCATGAGTAGTATCAATTCATGAAGATTAATGTCATTGCAGTCTCTTTAGAAACCTCATTGTCCTCAGTCATGAAAATTATTTTTAATTGGTCTTATATGTGTTAAAATGTGAGAGAATACTGAATGTAAACTCATTTATATGAATCTGACAGTAATACCAATTGAGAAACTTGGAAAGCCTACCAACATCCTCTGTAAAGAAAACAACAAAACTTCATGCAAAGACAATGTATGCAAGTATATGGTTGTGTTTAGGTGCGTATCTTGCCACCAAATAAAGTCAATGAAGGATGCTCTGATGTTCCTGTAAGAGGTAGGAAGTAGTGTTGGTGATACAAATTACTCCTTTTTATTTTGATACTACCTTTTAGATTTTTTCAGAGATACACCCTTTCAGCATGAGGGCATTCAGAGCCTAGGAAGCCAGGCCAAATCATTACTTTCAGAAGATGCTACTGCAGCTTGTTTTTAAACATCTTTTCATTATTGACACTCTAAGACTTACTGATGGAAGTATCTGTTCATTGCTTAGACCTCCTGGGACCAGGGCAAACTTCTTAGCTGTTTCTTTGATCTCCCTGGTTTTCCTAAAAAATGTTGACATAATTTTTTCCTTTATGTTCTCTGGATCATTGTTGCTTCCTCAGGCTCCTATATTGCTTACAAAACTTTTCTGGTTCTGGGGAGTCAGGTGAAGAAATGCCAAGGGCTATAAATTTGAGAGGTGCCATTTTAGAATTTGGAAAAGGGAAGGTTCTAGCTTCCAGAAGTCCTGAAAAAGCTCCGTATTATTTGAGGGTGAAAGATGAGTTAGATTATAGTGTGCTGTTGTTGTGATTATAGTATGCTGTTGTATTTATAGCGAAGGCTCAGTGTACTATTTCAACTTTTGCTCATAAATGTTTCATAAATACCAGGAGAAGGGAGAATTTCCTGTATTTTATAGCTTATTGAGAGGACTAATTCTTAAAGATTACAATTATTAGAAAACTGTTCCCTTCCACATCCCTCTGTCCTATGAACTATGGCTTTTCCTCTCCTAGGAATTTTGGATTATCAGAGGTGAACATAACAGCTCTAGGCGTTCGTTACTTCTAGTATAGTATTTTGTTAAGTATTTTCTTTGGAAACATGCATCTTTTAATGATTTTTTTAACTGGTTTAACTTTTTGTCCTTGTCTTGTCCTATTGATGTGCCCTTGGGGTTTACTGTCCATTTCTCCTTCTGTGCATTATGGGAGAGAGACTGCTTTTCTTCTCAATCTGTCCACATTAAGGCATCTGAATGCATGAATAGGTACCAATATTATTTTTTCCCTGTTGTGTGTATGGTGTACGTGTGCGCATGTGCTGTGTTTTAGGCTTTTTAGTATGCTGTAGTCATCCTAATAGCTATTGCTTAAAAAAAAAAAAAAAAAAAAAAAAGAAAGAAAATAACTGCTAGCTTCTGTGTCTGCTAGCAGTGACAGCTACAGGACATTGGCACAAAGTGGCTTTCCTGCATATAAAACACACTACTAACAAATAACTGAAATATATTTGAATTTTTCTTTAATCGGTTTTATGTTTTATGAACTTCAGAATGTTGTGTTTGTTGATAATAATACACCGTCTCCATTTTCCCTTCTGAAGCTATGGTTGTTTATGGCTGTGATAGCTTCAGTCTCTCAAGGGAGAATGGTGCATCATACTTTGCATTTTTACACTGTTTTCACCTACAGCCTCTTAGGCAATGCTTTCAGTTGTGTTCATCATGCACCGCTGAAAAAGAACCCGAAAGACAAATGGGTGGTGTTGATCAGGACATACAGGTCAGTTAAGACTGACAGATGTTAAATCCATTTATTGATGTGGTATACAGTCTCCACAGTTAGTTACCCAAGGTTCTGGTTTTTTTCCAGCAAGTATATAACCACGAGTGGTAGGGTCCTGCTGTGTCATCTGCCGCGGGACTCTTGCTTTTCTGCAAGAGTCGCTTCGCTTCTGAATTCTAGCATCCTCTTCTATGCCCTCAGTGTGGTCTGTGGAGGAGCTCTGTAGTCATAAGGTCTAGCGTTAAAATCACTGATTTCCTTTACATCTGGATGACCAATTTTTGGTCTGTTCTTATGCTGGATGCTAAGCATAAATTGCAATTAATGAAATGCTTCTAAATCATATTTGTTTTGACCATTTCTAATGGTCTTAAAACAGCAAAAAAAAAAACCAACAAGACCCAAATAACAACAAAGAAAACACAAACCCAAAGAACTCAACTAGGCAAACATGAAAAATATCCTTTGATTCCTAAATGCCCGATTGATCAGAGCTACTGTTTCGTCTGTGTAAGCCCTGTTTTCCTGTGCTAAGGTAGGCAGGTAATGGTGGGGAGGGAGCAACCACCTTGTATTCCCTTATTGTATTCCCTTGAGGCACGTAAGGGAAAGGCCACGTTTCACACATTTATAAGAACAGGCTGCACTAGAAAGGGAGTAAATTTTCCACAAAACTTAAAGCACTGTAATAGCAAGCAAATATTTTGCTCTCTAAGATTATGGTAATTTGGGAAATTCAGAGTAAACAACTGAAATTGCAACGTGT